GCTCAGAAAAGAATTCTTATTACTGAGCCAGTAGAGTTGTCTCTAGTTGTTCTTGTTACCTAAGAGCTCCAGAGTACTAATACTAGTCAGCCCGTGGAGATCTTTTAGTTCACTTATTGACTGTTTATGTGCTAGGAGCTGAAGGCAGATGGATAGGATAGCTTCTCCATTCTGAGGCAGTAAGAGTTAGTAATGGCTATTTAAAAACAACCAGTGTTTCAACTCTCCCTTACGTATCTGCTTCAAGGGGTCAGAATAGCTGAGGGAAGGAATTCTGAGCATATGTTAGTAAAGTGTAGGGGTTAAGAAAGAGCATTGGCCCTGGAGGCAAACAGCTTGGATCACATCCTCACTTCTCTACTAACTGGTCATGCGGCCTTGCGCAAGTAACTTCATCTTTCTACACTCAGTCTTCTGTAAAGAGGGGATAGCAATAATATTTACCTCATGAGATTGTTAAAAAAGTTAAATAAATTTTGTTTATAAAGTCTTTGGAACACTACCTAGACTATGGTGAGCATTAAATATATATTAGCTGTTATTATTATTTGGGACAGAGGATTGTCAAGTGGCACTAATGGGGTGATGGACAGAGTGCAGAGCCCAGAGGGAGACTTTAGAGCAGCGGTGTCCAATCTTTTGGCTTCCCTGGCCACATTGGTAGAAGAATTGTCTTGGGCCGCACATAAAATGCACTAATTCTAATGATGGCTGATGAGAAAAAAAAAAACAACAACAACTCATGTTTTAAGAAAGTTTACGAATTTGTGTTGGGCTGCATTCAAAGCCATCCTGGGTGCCTGTGGGTCCTGTCGTGGGTTGGACAAGCTCGCTTTAGAACATCTTTTTTTTTTTTTTTTTCTTAAGAGACAGGATCTTGCTCTCTCACTCAGGCTGGAGTGCAGTAGTGCAATCATAGCTCACTGCAACCTCGAACTCCTGTGCTCAAGCAATCCTCCTGCCTCAGCCTCCCAAGTAGCTACAGGTGCATGCCACCACCACCCGACTTGAGCAATTTTTTTTTTTTTTTGAGACGGATTCTCGCTCTGTAGCCAGGCTGGAGTGCAGTGGCGCGATCTCGGCTCACTGCAATCTGCCTCCTGGGTTCAAGTGATTCTCCTGCCTCAGCCTCCCCAGTAGCTGGGACTACAGGCACACGCTACGATGCCCAGTTAACTTTTGTATTTTTAATAGAGACAGGGTTTTGCCATGTTGGCCATGATGGTCTCTATTTCTTGACCTCGTGATCCACCCACCTAAGCCTCCCAAAGTCCTGGGATTACAGGCGTGAGCCACTGTGCCCAGCCCAACCCAAGCATGTTTAAAACAAGTTTTCTCTTCACTTTGCCTCTCTCATTCTCTCCTTTTCCTTTACTCTCCCCTCCACTCCCTCTTCCTCTCTCCTTCCTTAACAATTCAGCCCCAAATCCATTAAGTAGGGCCAAGAACAGCAGATATTGTTTTTTTTTGTTTTCTTTTGTTTGTTTGTTTGTTTGTTTTGAGACGGAGTCTCGCTCTGTCGCCCAGGCTGGAGTGCAGTGGCCGGATCTCAGCTCACTGCAAGCTCCGCCTCCCGGGTTTACGCCATTCTCCTGCCTCAGCCTTCCGAGTAGCTGGGACTACAGGTGCCCGCCACCTCGCCCGGCTGGTTTTTTGTATTTTTTAGTAGAGAGGGGGTTTCACCGTGTTAGCCAGGATGGTCTCGATCTCCTGACCTCGTGATCCGCCTGTCTCAGCCTCCCAAAGTGCTGGGATTACAGGCTTGAGCCACCGCGCCCGGCCCAGATATTGGTTTTGGATGGTCGAAACTAGATGTTGGAGTTGGCTTCTCCATGGGTAGGTGCCCACCCACCATGGTGGAGCATAGCTGGCGTGGAGAGGGCAGGTACTTAGGTAAAGGGATAGTGGCAGTGGTCTAGGACAGGATGTAAATGACTGAGCATTGGGGGGCAGGTGATGGGGTGAGGAGGGTGGAGGTGGGAGTCACAAGGATGGGGGACAGGAGCAAGGATGGAAGACTTTACAAATACGTAGAAATTAACATACTCCTAAATAATCAATGGGTCAAAGAAGAAATCAAGAAAGAAATCAAGGAAAAATCAAAAGGAAAATTAGAAAGTATTTTGACATGAATGAAAATAAACAACATACCAAAACTTATGGAATGCAGCTAAAGCAATGCTTAGAGGGAAATTTATAGCTGTCAACACTTATGCCAAAAAAGATAATATCAAATCAATAACCTAACCTTTTACCTTAAGACACAGAAAATAGAAGATCAAAGTCAACCCAAGGCAAGCAAAGGGAAAGAAATAATAAACATTAGAGTAGAAATAAATAAAATAGAGAATAGAAAAACACTACATTGAATCATTGAAACAAAAGTTGTTATTTTGAAAAGATGAACAAAGTTGACAAACCTACAGGTAGACTAAGAGCAAAAAGAGAGAATACTCAAATTACTAGAATCAGAAATGAAAGGGGAGACATTAATACTGACCTTACAGAAATGAAAGGATTATAAAGGAATACTATGAACAATTGTATGCCAATAATAGATAACATAGATAAAATGAACAAATTCCTAGAATAACACATACTCCCAAAACTGACTCAAGAAGAAACAGTCAACCTAAATAGACCTATAATAAGTTTGGATATTGAATTAGTAATTTAAAAAACTACCCACAGAGAAGAGCCCAGGCCCAGATGGCTTTACTGAATGGTACTAAAGATTTAAAGAAGGCTGGACACAGTGGCTCACACCTGTAATACCAGCATTTTGGGGAGCCAAGGCAGGTGGATCACTTGAGGTCAGGAGTTTGAGACCAGACTGGCCAACATGGTGAAACCCTGTCTCTACTGAAAAAATATAAAAGTTAGCCCAGGGTGGTAGTGGGTGCCTGTAATCCCAGCTACTTGAGAGGTTGAGGCAGGAAAATCACTTGAACCCAGGAGACGGAGGTTTCAGTGAGCTGAGATTGGGCACTGCACTCCAGCCTGGGCAACAGAGTGAGACCATTTCTAAAAAAAAAAAAAAAAGGTTTAAAGAAGAATTAATAACAATTCACCAATTCTACCAAAACCAGACAAAGGTGTCATAAGAAAACTATAGACAGGCCAGACATGGTGGCAATCCCATGTCTAGTATAGTATAGCCTTTAGCAGTATCAAACTTTTTTTTTTTTTTGAGACAGGGTTTCATACTTGTTGCCCAGGCTGGAGTGCAATGGCACGATCTCAGCTCACTGCAACCTCTGCCTCCCGGGTTCAAGTGATTCTCCTGCCTCAGCCTCCCAAGTAGCTGGGATTACAGGCATGTGCCACCACTCCTGTCTATTTTTTTTTTTTTTTTGTATTTAGTAAAGAGACGGAGTTTCACCATGTTAGTCAGGTTGGTCTCAAACTCCTGACCTCAGGTGATCCACCTGCCTTGGCCTCCCAAAATACTGAGATTACAGACATGTGCCACTGTGCCTGGCCCTGAACTTCGGACTTCTCAGCCTCCATAACTGTAATAAATAAATTCATTTTCTTTGTAAATTACCAGTTTCAGATATTCTGTTATAAGCAACAGAAAATGGACTAAGACAGGTAATTGTAGTTTTTGTTATTATTTTTAAATGACAAAAACTACACTAACTTTTGCACCAACCTAATACAAATGGCTAATCATCTCATGAAAAGATGTTCAACAGCATTAGTTATCAGGGAAATACAAATCAAAACCACAATGAGCTATTATTTCACATCCACCAGGTTGGCTAACCTTAAAAAAGCTCAGATAATAACAAGTGTGGGTGAGGATATGGAGAAAATGGAACTCTCATCCACTGTTGGTGGGAATGTAAAATGCTGTGGCCTCTTCAGAAAACAGTCTGTAAGTTTCTCAAACAATTAAACATAGAGTTAGTTACCATATGAACCAGCAAATTCTACTCCTAGGTATATACCCAAGAGAAATGAAAACATATATACACACAAAACCTTGTACACAAATATTTATAGTAGCAGTGTTCCTGATAGTCAAAAGGTGAAAGCAACTTAAATATCTATCAACTGATTAGTTAACAAACAACGTGTGATATATTGATAAAATGAAATATTTGTGCATAAAAAGAAATAAAATACGGACACATGCTACAACATTGATGAATTTTGAAAACTATGCTAAGTGAAGGAAGCCAGTTACAAAAGACCACATATTATATAATTCCACATATATCAATGTCCAGACCAGGCAAATCTAGACAGAAAGTAAATTAGTTGTTGCTTAGGGGTTGAAATATGTGTGGAGGAGGCTGGAGAAGTGATAGCTAACAGGTATGAGACTTCTTTTTGAGGTGATGAAAATCTTCTAAAATTGTGTGAGGTTTACATGCATTTGTGAATGTGGTATAAAACTATTCACCTGTACAGTTTAAATGAGTAAGTTGTATGTTTCAATTTATGTCTCAATAAAGGTATTAAATAAGAGGAAAATGGCAATTAAATGGAGCACATGATTTTGGATTGGATCTGTTTTTGGATATGGGGTCTTGCTATGTTGCCCAGCAGTAGCTATTCACAGGCATGATCATTGCACACCATGGCCTTGAACTTCTGGCCTCTAGAGATCCTCCTGCCTCTGCCACCTGAGTAGCTAGGACTACAGGTGCTTGCCACCTCACCTGGCTTGGATCTTTTTGTCATAAATGACATTATTGGGACAAGTGGGGTAATTTGAATGGTGTCTGGGGATTAGATGCTACCAGTGTATCAGTGTTAATTTCCTAATTGCTTAATTTTATTTTTAATTTTTATTTTTTTAGAGACGTGGTCTCTCTCCATCACCCAGGCTGGAGTGCAGTGGCATGAGTATAGCTCACTGTAGCCTCGAGTTCCTGGGTTCAAGCCATCCCCCCACTTCAGCCTCCCAAGTAGCTAGTACTACAGGTGTGTACCACCATGCCCAGCTAAATTTTAATTTTTTTTTTTTTTTTTTTGTAGAGGCATGGTCTCGCTATGTTGCCCAGGTTTGTCTTGAATTCCTGTCCTCAAGCAATCCTGCTGCCTTGGCCTACCAAAGTGCTGGGATTACAGGCATGAGCCACTATGACCTGCCAATTTCCTGATTTTGATGGCTGTATTTCAGTTTTGCAGGAGAAGATCCTCGTTTGGAGGAAATGCACACTGAAGTATTTGTTGGTGATGGGGCATCATGGTAAGTAACTTAAGTCTCAAATGTCCAGGAAAAAAAAGTTTTTGTTTTTGTTTTATTTTTATTTTTGCAACTTTTCTCTATGTTTAAGTTTGTTTCAGAATAAAAATATAGGCCAGGCATGGTGGCTCACGCCTGTAATCCCAGCACTTTGGGAGGCTGAGGTGGGCAGATCACCTAGGGTCAGGAGTTCGAAACCAGCCTGGCCAACATGGCAAAACCCTGTCTCTACTAAAAATACAAAAATTAGCCAGGTGCGGTGGTGGGCACCTGTAATCCCAGCTACTTGGGAGGCTGAGATGGGAGAATCGCTTGAACCCAGGAGGCAGAGGTTGCAGTGAGCCGAGATTGCACCATTGCACTCCAGCCTGGGTGACAGAATAAGACTCCATCTCAATATATATATATATATTTTTTATATATATACACACACACACACATACACACACTTTGTAAAATGCTTGATTTAATTTTAAAATATGAGGGTAGAGATGGAATACTGGGTTATCAGCAGCCACAGGGAACAAGGAGGCTGATGAAGTGATAGTCCATGATCCGGCCTGCCTATGGTGGGGGTAAGTGTGGTACTATCCTTTAGCCAATTGCATTAGGCTTAACTAGTTTTTATAAGATTTCCAAATGCCATCAATTTATATGGAATTTATACTCTAAAGCAGTAGCACTGATTTTGAGAAAGAAAAGGTAATTTCTACTTAATACAATAAATGAGAAATAATTGAAGAAATAATTTCTTTGGAAAAGAATGCTTCTTTATTGATGGTTTTATTTATCAGCAAGGATCATGACTCAGTAGCCAGTGGAAGGAGTCAGAACACTTTGGGAACATGCTGCTAAAAACCCGTCAGCTCATCGTCCTTGTTTTTGTCAGCCTGGTATCCAGTAAGTACCAAGTCCTCATTTTGTCCGGGAAGACTTTTGAATACTTTCAAGTGCATATAATGATTATCACCTGCTCGTACCTGAAAAGTATTAAAAAAAAAAAGAGAAAGCAAAAGGAGATTTATTCAAATGGGTCTACATCAAGTGAGAGAGCTACAGATCTATAAAGACTTCTGTCCAAAAAGCTGCTGAGGAATAGCATTGCTAGACCTAGTCCACCCATTCTTAGACTCTTTGTATTCATAAATCCACCACCTTATTTTAGGAGAGAAAGAGTAGAGTAGGCTGGGCGCCGTGGCTCCCACCTGTAATCCTAGTACTTTGGGAGGCTGAGGCAGGTGGATCACGAGGTCAGGAGTTCGAGACCAGCCTGGCCAGCATGGTGAAACCCCGTCTCTACTAAAAATACAAAAAATTAGCCAGGCATGGTGGTGCATGCCTGTAATCCCAGCTACTCGGGAGACTGAGGCAGGAAAATCACTTGAACCCAGGAGGAGAAGGTTGCAGTGAGCCGAGATTGCGCTGCTGCACTCCAGCCTGAGTGATACAGCAAGACTCTGCCTAAAAAAAAAAAAAAAAAAAAAAAAAAATTGTAGACTAATGGCATGGCAAGAGGCATAAGTCCTAGGTTTATTTTGTTATTTTTTTTAGTATAATCTGGGCACAAAGGACAGCATTTTATTTTCAAAGATGCATGGAGCAAGAAAACCAGTGACAGCCTATATTTTTGGTGATGCTGTTTTCTGACTCCCAACTTGGGACACTTTATTTGCCATACAGTCTGATAAGGGAAAAGAAAATCAGAATTGCCCTAGAAAATTTGGGATGCAGGGTTCATATACCTATATCAGAACCTACTTTATAAACGCCCACTGGTAAGATTGAGCAGAGCCCAGGGGGCAGACACCCTCCCTTCTGGAGTGAAGGGGTCGGGCACTGTGGCTCACGCCTATAATTCCAGCACTTTGGGAGGCCGAGGCGGGTGGATCACCTGAGGTCAGGAGTTTGAGACAAACCTGGCCAACATGGTGAAAACTAAAAATACAAAATTAGCTGGGCATGGTGGTGCACACCTGTAATCCCAGCTACCTGGGAGGCTGAAGCAGGAGAATCGCTTGAATCTGGGAGATGGAGGTCGCAGAGAGCCGAGATTGTGCCACTGCACTCCAGCCTGAGCGACAGAGTGAAACTCTGTCTCAAAAAAGAAAAAAAAAAAAGCTAAGGGGTTTTGCTAGGAAGTCATTGGTATGAAGGTTGAAGCAGAAGCAGTAGTTTGGACATGAATCTGAGACCTGGAAAATTATGGTAAGAATTTTTACTTTGGTTCTTGCTTGAGACAATAAATGCTTTGTCTTATAAAAATATTTATTGTGCTTCTGATGTCACTTCCTATCCTAATTTTAACAAATGCCATATATCAAATGTTTACTGTTAGCCAGACACTTTGATGAACATTTTATATAAATGATTATATTAACTTATATTATAGGCCTGAAGAAAGGTGGAGCAATGAAATTTTACAGATGTGGAAGCAGAGTAAGAGAGATTAAGTGATTTTCCATAAATTTCTCAGCTAATAAGTGGCACAGCCAATATTCAAACCCAGATCTGTTAGGCTCTAGCATCTACATTCTTTTCACTCTACAATGTAACCTCTTTGGAGGGTACTGATGGGGGAATGAGGCCTCGCTCTGTTGCCTGGGCTGCAGTGCAGTGGTGCGATCTCAGCTCACTGCAATGTCAAACTCCTTGGCTCAAGTGATCCTTCTACCTCATCTTCCCAAGTAGCTAGGACTACTGATGTGCATCACCATGCCTAGGTAATTAAAACATTTTCTTTGTAGAGACAAGGTCTCGCTATGTTGCCCAGGCTGATCTCAAACTCCTGGCTTCAAGCTATACTCCCGCCTTGGTCTCCCATAGTGTTGGGATTACAGACGTGAGCCACCACACCAGGCCAGTGTAACCTTTTAAAAGCTCTTATTTTGTGCTTTATATTAGAGGCAGCACAGCCAGTAGTTAAGCTCAGTCTATCTGGGCTCAAATCCTGACTCAGATCTTATAGTTGTATGACCTTTTTAGTCTCTTCACCACCCTGGAGCTCAATTTTTTCATTGGTAACCCAAGAGAAGTGATTGTACTTATCTCATAGATTTGTTGTGAGGATTAAATGAGATAATACAAGCCCTGTTCTTAGACTAGTGCATGGTGAATTGTAAGTGCTCAATAAATTTCCAGCTTATATATTCCTCACAACACCCTGCGAAGCAGATTATTACCCTCATTGTGCAGATAAGGGAATGAAGGCTCAGAGAGGAGGAGGAGCTTCAAGGGTTCAAACCCAGGACACTCTGACACCTAAGCCTGTGGTCCTTCCATTGTACCACCTGCCTCTTGATAGGTACCTGAAATACATAGAGAAGGTCTCGTCACTGGCAAGACCTTAAATCTAGAGTGGCTCAGAGCAAAGGGATCAACAGCCAGACTACCAGGAAGTAAAAGGGAACTAGGATCAGTGGCTGAGATCCAATAGGAAAAATTCGATAGCAGAAGGAAGAAAAGATGAGAGAGACAGAGAGAGAAAGAGACAGAGACAGAGAGAAGGAGAGAGAGAGAGAGAGACTGATTAAGAGAGGGCAAAAGGGTGGTCAAGAGAAGAAATTTTCAAGATAATTATCTGATGAACTGTTGAAGAGACATGGGAGCTGGTAATATGCGGTAATATGTGAAATGTAATATGTGGTAACATGTGAAATGTATGCATTTGAATTAATCATAAATTATTAAAATAAATATTCTAATGTTGATGGAATGCTTCCTATCTTTGCACATAATCATTTTTAACTGGAAAACGTTCTTTTCCAGCCATGAAGAAATCAGATTGAAAATGGAGGAAATGGTGCCATTGTTTTCTGAGGATACAGCAGGGTCCTCTGTGACATGTGTCTCCCCGTGACCTGGTCAAAGCTCCCTGTGACATGTGACCTGGTCTTTACTAGGAGCTCACATTTGGCAGAACAGGGCTGATCCATATACATAGCTCGGTACTGAAACTTTCTTATGCTAAGCTGACTAGCTCCACTTACTTATGTTTATTTTTTGCTTAAAACGTCTTTTAAAATGTTTATATTTTAATTGAATTGTTTGTTAAAGAGAAATAAGCCACACTGTGCCCTGGTCGAATGGTTAAGTAAAGATTAAGTAAACATACTTTAATATTTGTTTTTATTTTTAAAATCAGAATTATCATCTTCTTAATACATAAGGACAAAAATGGCTCTTAAATATTCATGGTTGACTTGTTCAGTTGGTTTCATCTTGGTAACTTCAATTAGAACTGGATCAATGCATCGTGTAATTTTCTGACAGAGCTATATAATTAACTTTTAAACTATTTTAACTACTCCACTGCTTTAAACTATACCTAAGTTGCCATAAGTTAAATCTACTAATTTGAATTACAAAATAATATTTACATTATATTAATCAAAATGCTTATTTAAAGGACAAAAAAGGTTTAAATTATTTTCCCAGCTAATGATTTGAGTCGTTACTTTAATTTATTTAATTTAGACATATAGAATCATACAGCTTTGAGGTGGAATCGGCTTCAAGATACCATGTGGTCCAGCCCCACGCCTTCAGGCAGATGAGACGTGATCCTCCCTCCTTACCTAAGAAGCAGCACAGCCACAAATCCAGCATGCCCTGAACTGTTCTGAAATCTTTTTCTATACAATTTCCAGAAATCAAGAATCAATGTAATAAAGCTTTCTGAATTCACAAGAAAAAAAATGGCATCACATCATTTACCAAATTTGAGAGTCTACCACTTGGAAGGAATCATGCTAGGCATCTTAATTTAGGACAACTGTAAGGAAGCAATTATATGGTAGGGAAATCAGGGAACATTTTACATAAAATGAGAAATAGATCTTTTGGTGCTAAAGTAGGTACTGAACTCTAACCTTAATGTAGTAATTTATTCCAGCAACGACTTGAGTTTTATACTCCACAGCTTCCAATTTTTCATAACTCTGGTTTGTTTTTTCTTCAAGCTGTGGTTTAACCTAAAGAAAAGAAAAGAGGAAACAAATAATCAAAGCTATATTAGACTCCATCTATGTGACGTACACATCTGGGAACCTCATCCTCCTAAAAGTCTTCAAAGATGGTAATGAAATCTATGAGCTTTTTTTATTATTTCAATAGAAAACACCTATTTTAATACAATTACATAGGTTAAAACATCAAATTTTGTTGCTTTAGGCTGAATTCACATAAACTCAGTGTGGTAATGCAATATAGGAGCATTTTGACTGTTAAACTCTAAGAGTTATATATATCTTTGATTAACAAAAATCAGTAGAGCAATAATTACTACTTGATTAAAACATTATTTTAAAATAATTTCAGACTTAAAAGTTGTAAAATTAGTATAATGAATTATCTTATATCATTTACAGTTCCCCTAATTTTGCCATTTTACATAACATAGTATAATCACCAAAATCAGGAAATTAACATGGTATATCACTATTAAGTAGTCTCTAAACCTTATCAGAATTTTGCCAGTTATCCTGAAAATGTCTCTTTTCTGCTCCAGGATCTCATGCAGGATCCTGCATTGCATTTAGTTGTCATTTCTACTCAGTCTCGTACAATCTGGGTTCATTCCTTTGTTGTTCACAACCTTGATGTTTTTGAAGAATACTGGCCTGTTAAATGGTAGAATGTCCCTCAGTTTAGGTTTGTGTGATCTCCTCTTATGTTAGTATTACACATTTTTGTAAGGATAGCACAAAAGTGATGTTGTGCTTAAGTGCATCCTATCAGGAGCTACATTTCATTACTGGTGATGTTAATTTTGATCACTTAGGATGTCTGCCAGGTTTCTCCACTGTAAAGTTACCATTTTTTTCCCTTTGTAATTAGTTAGTGTCTTGTGAGGAGTCTTGTTTCTCGCTGTACTTGCATTCATGAATTTTAGCATCCATTGACGGTTCTTGCCCACAACAATGATTAATTGTGGTATTGGCCAAATGGTAATTTAAAAAATAATTTCTTGTACATTTATTATTTGCAATTCTACTGTAAGGAAGAGCTGTTCTCTTCTCTTCATGTAGTCAATTACTTATTTTATGTTAATATGACTCATGGATATTTATTTTACTCTGTGGATTACAATTCATTACTCTTTATTTTGTTACTCAAATGTCCTAGATTTGGCCATTGGGAGCTCCTTCACCTGATGCCCGTGTCCTTTCAACACACCTCTATCATTTTATAAGCACTTCCTAACTTTCTGACTCTACACAAGTAGAGTCAGATGTTCCAGGTTTATCTTGAAGTTTCCTTGCCTCCTCGCTGGAATCAACTATTTCTCCAAGGAGTCCCCACTCCTTTTATTGGAGAATGGTATTTAAGACCCAAGATTTGGGTGCTGTGTCTCTTGTTACTAGATGTCATTGCTTCTAGGCCCACTCAATGGAAAGGGCTACAAAATAATATGTGTACTCACACACATGTGCACACATCTTTACTCATTTGTATGTGTGTGCATATACACACATTTATGTGTGTGTCATTTTATATGTGTGTGTATGGGTATGTGTGTGTATGTGCATGTGTGTATATATATGTGTGTATATATATGTGTGTGTGTGTGTGTATATGTATATGTATATACACACACACACACATATATATATTTTTTCCTCTGATTAAAATCAAATACCACGGCCGGGCGTGGTGGCTCATGCCTGTAATCCCAGCTCTTTGGGAGGCCGAGGTGGGTGGATCACTTGAGGTCAGGAGTTTGAGACCAGCCTGACCAACATGATAAAATCCCTTCTCTACTAAAAATACAAAAATGAGCCGGGCACAGTGTTGGGTGTCTATAATTCCAGCTACTCAGGAGGCTGAAGCAGGAGAATCACTTGAACCTGGGAGGCGGAGGTTGCAGTGAGATGAGATCACACCATTGCACTCCTGCCTGGGCAACAAGAGTGAAACTCCGCCTCAAAAAAAATAAAATAAAATAAAATAAAATAAAATAAAATAAATAAATAAATAAATAAATAAATAAAATTTTAAAAATCAAATACCACAGGACTTATTTAGCTTTTCCCGTTTCCTTATTATAACTCCTTTCTCAAACGCTGAGGAAGAATCCTGGTTCTTATTATTTGCAATGTATTTGCCTATTTGTTCAGTTCTAGCGTATACATAAAATAATTTCAGAATTGCTGACCTATACCCCTGTGGAAAACAATATACTAATTAGAGTGCAGTATTTGGGTATAATTCTAATAAAGACCCTGTGGTTGCATGGGCTTACCTGGATAATCCAGGATAACCTCTCCATCTCAAGAGCCTTAATTTAATCACACCTGCAAAGTCTCTTTTGCTGTGTAAAGGAACCTAGTCACAGGTTCCAGGGATTAGGACATGGACATCTTTGGAGGGCCATCATTCTGTCTACCATGGAGGGATATGGGTTGGGTTTAAATGTCAGCATTCCCGAACCAAACATGAGAAGGGAGACAGAGTCCCAAATTTAATATGTAAATTTTTACTGAACCCATCAGCTTTCTGTACAGTACTTCATTCCCACTCTCAGCTGGGCCTGATAGGCAAGAGTCTACTATGAGCTCTTGACTCAGTTCCTGCTAAGTGTAAAGCTCCTCTTCTGCCAGGGTGGAGGACAGTGAGGGAGAAGGAACTCGGGGAGGTCTCACTGTCCCTCATACAGATCAGTCCTCTTGCTTTTGGTCCCAGGCCTCACTCCTGGCTACGAGTTTTTTGTGGTGTTCATGCCTGCGCCTTTGTGACGTTCTGCAGGTAAATCTGCTTGCTTCTGGCTTAGACTTTCCCCTCTGTGGGCTTAGCTTCTGTTTAGACTGCTCAGCATTTTCCATTGTTCATCTGTTTTCCAACTTCCAAAATTTTATTGCTATTTCTGAGGTGGTACTTGCCTATCTCCTGTTGTCTTTATATCTGTGGCTTTGTCCTTCAACCTCAATTCTTTTCTATCCTTTGGAGGAAAAAAGATACAACTCTGTGTATTGAATATACCTTGTTTATTGAGAACTTGCCTTTATGCCCTTCATGAAAACATTTCATGTCCATACAACTTCAATCAGGCCTCCAATGCATCTAGAATTTTCCCAAGGCAGTCCTTCGTCTTTCCCATCAGTGGGCAGTTGTTTTTTGTTTTTTGTTTTTAAATTTAAGAGACAGGATCTCCCCCTCACCCGGGCTGGAGTGCAGTGGCATGATCATAGTTCACCACAGCCTCGAACTCCTGGACTCAAACAATCCTCCCTGGGCAGATGTTTTGAATCCCTTACTACTGATGCCTCAGTTTGAGTACCAGAACTGTTTTCAAAGATGTAGACATATGCAAACTGTGAGCTGTCAGACCACTTCTGAAAGGCCAAACACTCCACTCAGTTCTCCTGTAACCTTGAGAATAGATGGGAAAAATGTGACTGCTCTGTTGAGATGGAAACGAAATTTCAAAGTGGAGAAAGGGAGAAGACAAATAGTGAGAACAAACTAGAAGTGGGAAGAGCTAGGGGCAGGAGAGCGGAGAAAGGGTGCACGGAGAAGCAGAGTAAGGAAACGGGTTACTGTCTTAGGGTCCCTTTCCAAAGCCTTTCGAGATTCCAAAGGAGGGGTGGCCAGCATTGGACACCAGTCAAATTAGGAGCTGAGTTTGAAAGGGCTAATCTCTACACTAACCGCCAAAGTGTCCATTTAAACCTCATTTTATGAATGAGGAATCTGAGGCCATGAGTTGAGCATGACTGCTTAAAGTTGAAAAAATATTAATCATAGTTATTTTAAAGTCCTTGCCTGATGACTTATATATCTGATTTGTGTTCCTTCTGCTTTTCAGTCATGTTTTTTTTAAAGCACATATCCTAAGCCAGCCAGTCTTTCTTCTCTTTTCTTTTTTCTTTTCTCTTCTTTTCTTTTCTCTTCTTTTCTTTTCTTTTCTTTTCTTTTCTTTTCTTTTCTTTTCTTTTCTTTTCTTTTCTTTTCTTTCTTTCTTTTCTTTCTTTCTTTCTTTCTTTCTCTCTTTCTTTCTTTTCTTTCCTTTCTTTTCCTTCCTTCCTCCCTCCCTCTCTCCCTCCCTTATTTCATTCCTTCCTTCCTTCCCTGCTTCCTTCCTTCCTTCCTCACTCCCTCTCTTTCTCTTTC